GAGGTAAATCTTCTGTACTAGGTTGAAACAATTAATAATATGGGGTCTCTATCTGAAAATTGTTTACTTGAACATATGAGCATGAGAATGTTAATTGGGTGTCCATGACAGCAACATATTTTGTGAATTTTCATTACATTGCAAGTTCAATTTTTATTCAAAATTTTCTTTTGAATAACAGCACAGTATTGAAATCTTATCTCAGTTTTGTGGATACTATTTAAAATTAATGTAAGCCTATTGCTTCAAATTTTTAATCATTTATACTTTTTTTCTGTACACACATTCAGTATTTATAATTGGGGAAATTAAGTCATTTTAAAAAGTTGAAGTACAGAGACCACATCCATAAATAGTATGCAAAAAAAAATACATTACAGAGGTACTGGATCAGTATTTGTTTTTTGTCGGTAAATTATATACGTACAGTAGGGCCCCACTTATATGGCAGGTTAGGTTCCAGGCTACCGCTGGAAAGCAGAACGCCATTTTTTCCACTTATAAATGCATATAAATGCCAGATAACAAGTTTACACCAACATATATTAAGTTAGCAATAGAACTAAGCATTAGAAACAATAAAAAGTAAAATGCACACACAGTACACTCATTACTTCTTTCTTTCTTCTTTCAACATACCGGCCGTATCCCACTGAGGCAGGGTGGCCCAAAAGGAAAAATGAAAGTTTCTCCTTTTACATTTAGTAATATATACAGGAGAAGAGGTACACTCACTACTTACTTAAAATATTTGTAGTCTTATGTAGGGTGAGAGGTGAGAAGTATTTATTGTAAGAAGTCAGGTGTGGGAGGTATGGTAGCCAGCCGGGCCACCCCACCCACATGTAGTATGACATTTAAAGCGCCACAGAGCGATAAAATGCAAATACTACAGTACACTCATTACTTACCCTAAAATATGTGTGGTCTCAGTGGCGACTCGTAGCGCCAGTAATACTTGTACGTACTATTGTACTGCATCAGACTTCTATTATTTTTTATTTTTTTTTTTTTTATTATCACACCGGCCGATTCCCACCAAGGCAGGGTGGCCCGAAAAAGAAAAACTTTCACCATCATTCACTCCATCACTGTCTTGCCAGAAGGGTGCTTTACACTACAGTTTTTAAACTGCAACATTAACACCCCTCCTTCAGAGTGCAGGCACTGTACTTCCCATCTCCAGAACTCAAGTCCGGCCTGCCGGTTTCCCTGAATCCCTTCATAAATGTTACTTTGCTCACACTCCAACAGCACGTCAAGTATTAAAAACCATTTGTCTCCATTCACTCCTATCAAACACGCTCACGCATGCCTGCTGGAAGTCCAAGCCCCTCGCACACAAAACCTCCTTTACCCCCTCCCTCCAACCCTTCCTAGGCCGACCCCTACCCCGCCTTCCTTCCACTACAGACTGATACACTCTTGAAGTCATTCTGTTTCGCTCCATTCTCTCTACATGTCCGAACCACCTCAACAACCCTTCCTCAGCCCTCTGGACAACAGTTTTGGTAATCCCGCACCTCCTCCTAACTTCCAAACTACGAATTCTCTGCATTATATTCACACCACACATTGCCCTCAGACATGACATCTCCACTGCCTCCAGCCTTCTCCTCGCTGCAACATTCATCACCCACGCTTCCACACCATATAAGAGCGTTGGTAAAACTATACTCTCATACATTCCCCTCTTTGCCTCCAAGGACAAAGTTCTTTGTCTCCACAGACTCCTAAGTGCACCACTCACTCTTTTTCCCTCATCAATTCTATGATTCACCTCATCTTTCATAGACCCATCCGCTGACACGTCCACTCCCAAATATCTGAATACGTTCACCTCCTCCATACTCTCTCCCTCCAATCTGATATTCAATCTTTCATCACCTAATCTTTTTGTTATCCTCATAACCTTACTCTTTCCTGTATTCACCTTTAATTTTCTTCTTTTGCACACCCTACCAAATTCATCCACCAATCTCTGCAACTTCTCTTCAGAATCTCCCAAGAGCACAGTGTCATCAGCAAAGAGCAGCTGTGACAACTCCCACTTTGTGTGTGATTCTTTATCTTTTAACTCCACGCCTCTTGCCAAGACCCTCGCATTTACTTCTCTTACAACCCATCTATAAATATATTAAACAACCACGGTGACATCACACATCCTTGTCTAAGGCCTACTTTTACTGGGAAAAAATTTCCCTCTTTCCTACATACTCTAACTTGAGCCTCACTATCCTCGTAAAAACTCTTCACTGCTTTCAGTAACCTACCTCCTACACCATACACTTGCAACATCTGCCACATTGCCCCCCTATCCACCCTGTCATACGCCTTTTCCAAATCCATAAATGCCACAAAGACCTCTTTAGCCTTATCTAAATACTGTTCACTTATATTTTCACTGTAAACACCTGGTCCACACACCCCCTACCTTTCCTAAAGCCTCCTTGCTCATCTGCTATCCTATTCTCCGTCTTACTCTTAATTCTTTCAATTATAACTCTACCATACACTTTACCAGGTACACTCAACAGACTTATCCCCCTATAATTTTTGCACTCTCTTTTATCCCCTTTGCCTTTATACAAAGGAACTATGCATGCTCTCTGCCAATCCCTAGGTACCTTACCCTCTTCCATACATTTATTAAATAATTGCACCAACCACTCCAAAACTATATCCCCACCTGCTTTTAACATTTCTATCTTTATCCCATCAATCCCGGCTGCCTTACCCCCTTTCATTTTACCTACTGCCTCACGAACTTCCCCCACACTCACAACTGGCTCTTCCTCACTCCTACAAGATGTTATTCCTCCTTGCCCTATACACGAAATCACAGCTTCCCTATCTTCATCAACATTTAACAATTCCTCAAAATATTCCTTCCATCTTCCCAATACCTCTAACTCTCCATTTAATAACTCTCCTCTCCTATTTTTAACTGACAAATCATTTGTTCTCTAGGCTTTCTTAACTTGTTAATCTCACTCCAAAACTTTTTCTTATTTTCAACAAAATTTGTTGATAACATCTCACCCACTCTCTCATTTGCTCTCTTTTTACATTGCTTCACCACTCTCTTAACCTCTCTCTTTTTCTCCATATACTCTTCCCTCCTTGCATCACTTCTACTTTGTAAAAACTTCTCATATGCTAACTTTTTCTCCCTTACTACTCTCTTTAACATCATCATTCCACCAATCGCTCCTCTTCCCTCCTGCACCCACTTTCCTGTAACCACAAACTTCTGCTGAACACTCTAACACTACATTTTTAAACCTACCCCATACCTCTTCGACCCCATTGCCTATGCTCTCATTAGCCCATCTATCCTCCAATAGCTGTTTATATCTTACCCTAACTGCCTCCTCTTTTAGTTTATAAACCTTCACCTCTCTCTTCCCTGATGCTTCTATTCTCCTTGTATCCCATCTACCTTTTACTCTCAGTGTAGCTACAACTAGAAAGTGATCTGATATATCTGTGGCCCCTCTATAAACATGTACATCCTGAAGTCTACTCCACAGTCTTTTATCTACCAATACATAATCCAACAAACTACTGTCATTTCGCCCTACATCATATCGTGTATACTTATTTATCCTCTTTTTCTTAAAATATGTATTACCTATAACTAAAACCCCTTTCTATACAAAGTTCAATCAAAGGGCTCCCATTATCATTTACACCTGGCACCCCAAACTTACCTACCACACCCTCTCTAAAAGTTTCTCCTACTTTAGCATTCAAGTCCCCTACCACAATTACTCTCTCACTTGGTTCAAAGGCTCCTATACATTCACTTAACATCTCCCAAAATCTCTCTCTCTCCTCTGCATTCCTCTCTTCTCCAGGTGCATACACGCTTATTATGACCCACTTCTCGCATCCAACCTTTACTTTAATCCACATAATTCTTGAATTTACACATTCATATTCTCTTTTCTCCTTCCATAACTGATCATTTAACATTACTGCTACCCCCTTCCTTTGCTCTAACTCTCTCAGATACTCCAGATTTAATCCATTTATTTCCCCCCACTGAAACTCTCCTACCCCTTCAGCTTTGTTTCGCTTAGGGCCAGGACATCCAACTTCTTTTCATTCATAACATCAGCAATCATCTGTTTCTTGTCATCCGCACTACATCCACGCACATTTAAGCAACCCAGTTTTATAAAGTTTTTCTTCTTCTCTTTTTTAGTAATTGTATACAGGAGAAGGGGTTACTAGCCCATTGCTCCCGGCATTTTAGTCGCCTCATACGACACGCATGGCTTACGGAGGAAAGATTCTTTTCCACTTCCCCATGGACAATAGAAGAAATAAAAAAAGAACAAGAGCTATTTAGAAAAAGGAGAAAAACCTAGATGTATGTATATATATATATGCATGTGCGTGTCTGTGAAGTGTGACCAAAGTGTAAGTAGGAGTAGCAAGATATCCCTGTTATCTTAGCGTGTTTATGAGACAGAAAAAGAAACCAGCAATCCTACCATCATGCAAAACAGTTACAGGTTTTTGTTTCACAGTCATCTGGCAGGACGGTAGTACTTCCCTGGGTGGTTGCTGTCTACCAACCTACTACCAAACCTAGATGTATGTATATATATATATGCATGTGCGTGTCTGTGAAGTGTGACCAAAGTGTTAGTAGGAGTAGCAAGATATCCCTGTTATCTTAGCGTGTTTATGAGACAGAAAAAGAAACCAGCAATCCTACCATCATGCAAAACAATTACAGGTTTTTGTTTCACAGTCATCTGGCAGGACGGTAGTACTTCCCTGGGTGGTTGCTGTCTACCAACCTACTACTATTTTTAATAATTTTTTTATCTCATTTCAACAAAAAATTAAAAATTCGCTTATAAATACATTGAAAACAACACAAAACATATTTTTCCTGTAATATGTTTGTCAGTTGCAAATTACATATTTTAGCGTAAGGTTGATGAAGTTATACATCTGGCACTGAGCATCTGGGGGGACTGCAGCTCCTATGGACGAGCCGCTGCTCTGTAGTCTTAATGTAGGGTGAGAGGTGAGTAATATTTATTCGTAGGAAATCTGGTGTAGGAGGTATCGTAGCCACCTAAGACACTGCGCCCACGTGTAATATACTATGACATTTAAAGTGCCCCAAAGTGATAAAATGCATATACAGTACATTCATTACTTACCTTAAAATATTTGTAGTCTTAATGTAGGGTGAGAGATGAGTAGTATTTAATAGTAGGAAGTCAGGTGTGGGAAGTATGGTAGCCAGCTAGGCCACCCCACCCACACATACTATACTATGACATTTAAAGTGCAATAGAGCAATAAAATGCATATATAGTATACAGAGAGAGAAAGAGAAAGAAAGGGGAGAGAGAGACAAAGAGAGAAGTAGAGAAAGAAAGAGAAATAAAAAGAGAAAGAGAAAGAGAGAGAAAGATAAAGAAAGAGAAAGAGAAAGAGAAAGAATGAGTAAAGGAGAGAGACGTGGAGTTATGTAAACAAGCAGATGAATGCGTCTGGTATTTGGTTCATAACACATAACATCATAAAATATTATATATTAAATATTTTCAATTAAGTCGGCTATCTCACTGAGGCAGGGTGACCTAAAAAGAAAAAAAATCCCCAAAAAAGAAAATACTCTCATCATCATTCAACACTTTCACCTCACTCGCACATAATCACTGTCTTTGCATAGGTGCCCAGGTACAACAGTTTAGAAGCAAATACTGTAAAGATATATAACACACCCCTCCAAACTACCAATACATCCCCAAACCCCTCCTTTAAAGTGCAGGCATGGTACTTCCCATTTCCAGTACTCAAGTCCGGCTATATAAAAATAACCAGTTACAATGAATCCCTTCACTAAATATTACCCTGCTTACACTCCAACAGCTCGTCAAGTCCCAAAAACCATTCGTCTCATATTTCTTTCTTTCAACACACCTGCCGTATCCCACCGAGGCAGGGTGGCCCAAAAGGAAAAACTAAAGTTTCTCCTTTTACATTTAGTAATATATACAGGAGAAGAGGTTACTAGCCCCTTGCTCCCGGCATTTTAGTCGCCTCTTACAACACGCATGGCTTACAGAGGAAGAATTCTGTTCCACTTCCCCATGGAGGTAAGAGGAAATAAACAAGAACAAGAACTAGTAAGAAAAATGGAAGAAAACCCAGAGAGGTGTGTATATACATATATGCTTGTACATGTATGTGTAGTGTGACCTAAGTGTAAGTAGAAGTAGCAAGACATGCCTGAAATCTTGCATGTTCATGAGACAGAAAAAAGGACACCAGCAATCCTACCATCATGTAAAACAATTACAGGCTTTCATTTTACACTCACTTGGCAGGATGGTAGTACCTCCCTGGGTGGTTGCTGTCTACTAACCCACTACCTAGGATTCGTCTCATATATTTATGTTAATTTATTCTACTGTGGGGTGTATTTATCATGTTTATATGTTATATATGACATTTAATGCGCCTGTGAGTGACTATTATTGCGTATTAGTATTATTATTATTAGTAACATTTATGAAGGGGTTCAGGGAAACCGGCAGGCTAGATTTGAGTCCTGGAGATGGGAAGTACAGTGCCTGCACTCTGAAGGAGGGGTGTTAATGTTGCAGTTTAAAAACTGTAGTGTAAAGCACCCTTCTGGCAAGACAGTGATGGAGTGAATGATGGTGAAAGTTTTTCTTTTTCGGGCCACCCTGCCCTGGTGGGAATCGGCCAGTGTGATAATAAAAAAAAATATTATCATTATTAATATGGCGTCCTCAAGACTAATAAGACACTCTTAGTGATTTTAATGTGTATGTACCTGCATGCCAGCACAGTCTGTAATTTATTTAGGTACGGGTACACATAAGTATAATTATCAGAGTATATATAAAACATGAAATAACTTTAAAACACTTGAAATTTTGGAAAGTTTCCAGACATAATGAAGAGATGCAGTGCTCATGGAGCTCACAGAGAATGTAAACAAACCAGGTAGGGCATGGTGACCATATTAGAAAGGTGGGGGGGAGCCGTATAGCGAGTTTTGGTCATAATTTGAAATGTCTGTATTAGTGGAACGCTGTAAGGCAAAACGCCGTAAAGCAGGGTCCTACTGTATAATTTTTTTTTTTTGACACAATGATCATCTCCCACTGAGTCAGGGTGACCCAAAAAAGAAGAAATGTAAAGTTTTTCTTCTTTGTTAATTTAGTAATTTATGCAGAAGGGTAAATTTACTAGCCCCTTGCTCCCGGTATTATAGTCACCTCTTACGACACATGTGGCTTACAGAGGAAGGATTCTTCTCCACTTCCCCATGGAGTGTAAATTATATCGCAGCATATAATAAGAACTTGTGAGTGAGTTTACAGTGTCATATACAATTAAAAATACTTATGTTCAGTAGATTCATATAGAGTTTATAGTATTGAGAATGTATACAAATTATATTTACAGGTTGTAGAAACTATCATCAACACATTTTGGCAAGGCCATTTAACACTGGCAGAAAAGGGAACTGGGAATACTGTGCCTTTTCCTGAATGTGCTATTCAGTGCATCAGTGGACAACCTGCTTTAGGAAGTAAAGCCAAACAGGTGAAAATTAAATATTTTTTATTAATTTTAAGTGTTGGGTAATATTAGGTGCTATAGCACATGGTTTCTTAGATACAGTGGACCCTCGGTTATCGGCCATAATCCGATCCAGAAGCTCGGCCTAAAACGAAATGGCCAAAAACCGAAATAATATTTCCCATAAGAATTAATGTAATTACAGCTAATCTGTTCCAGACAAAAATATTCACCAGTATTACATACCTTTATTGAAGACTAATGGTGGCTTCTGGAATGCCTGCTACACTTCCTGCATGCCTGCTACACTCCTGCATGCTGCTAACTCCTGCAGCTGCTTACACTTCCTGCATGCCGCTACACATCCGCATCCTGCTACACTCCCAGCATGCCTGTTACACTCCCTGCATGCCTGCCACACTCCCTGCATGCCTGCTACACTTCCTGCATTCCTGCTACACTTCCTGCATGCCTGCTACACTTCCTGCATGCCTGCTACACTTCCTGCATGTCTGCTACACTCCCAGCATGCCTGTTTCACTCCCTGCATGCTGTTACTCCCTGCATGCTGTTACACTCCCTGCATGCCTGCTACACTCCCTGCATGCCTGCTACACTTCCTGCATGCCTGCTACACTTCCTGCATGCCTGCTACACTTCCTGCATGTCTTCTACACCCCAACATGCCTGCTACACTCCCTGCATGCCTGTTACACTCCCTGCATGCCTGTTACATTCCCTGCATGCCTGTTACACCTGCATGCCTGCTACACTTCCTGCATGTCTGCTACACTTCCTGCATGCCTGTTACACTTTCTGCATGCCTGCTACACTTCCTGCATGCCTGCTACACTCCCAGCATGCCTGCTACACTCCCAGCATGCCTGCTACACTCCTTGCATGCCTGTTACACTTCCTGCATGCCTGCTACACTTCCTGCATGTCTGCTACACTTCCTGCATGCCTGCTACATTTCCTGCATGTCTGCTACACTCCCAGCATGCCTGCTACACTCCCTGCATGCATGTTTCACTCCCTGCATGCCTGTTTCACTCCCTGCATGCCTGTTACACTCCCTGCATGCATGTTTCACTCCCTGCATGCCTGTTTCACTCCCTGCATGACTGCTACACTCCCTCAAGCATGCATGTTTCAACTCCCTGCATGCCTGTTAACATTCCCTGCATGCTTTACACTCCCTGCATGCATGTTTCATCCCTGCATGCCTGTAATACACTCCCAGCATGCTTGTTAACTCCTGCATGCTGTTACACTACCGCATGCCATGTTACACTTCTTGCATGCCTGCTACACTTCCTGCATGTCTGCTACACTTCCTGCATGTCTGCTACACTTCCTGCATGCCTGCTGCACTTCCTGCATGCCTGCTACACTTCCTGCATGTCTGCTACACTCCCAGCATGCCTGCTGCACTCCCTGCATGCCTGTTACACTCCCTGTATGCCTGCCACACTCACTGCATGCCTGCTACACTTCACACTTAAATTCCATGGTGCTTCTCACTTTCTTTACCACAGGAACTTTACTAGGAACTTTCTTTGGAGCCATGGTTACTTATTTTGGAGATGCACTGCAAAAAACCCACAAAAAACAATGGAAAACAAGCGAAATGTTTGGATGTATGAGCAGAAGCTTCCTCACACACCGAAAGATACAGCCAAACTGACGCGCAAGCGGCCCCAGCCCGTGGATGGATGTGTCCCAAATGGCCAATCACCGAATTAACGGCTGATAACCTGGTGCCGAAAAACCGGCCGATCACCAAGTTGGCTGGTAACAGAAGCGGCCAATAACCGGGGGTCCACTGTACTGGAGGAATTGTTTGTTCATATATTTGTGGCTTTTGTTTTTCCTCTTCATCTGTAATTAAACTGATGCAAAGAATTTTGAAGAAAGATTTTTTGAGAAATTTTTCTGTGCCACCCAACTTAGCATAAAAGCCTATGAATGTTTCTTAATTCATGTTTTTCATACAGGAGGCATTATACATTCTTCCAACTGCAGAAGTTGTGGTAGACTTTGACATTGGTACCTTACCTTGGGTATACCTTCGTTATGGTGGTGTGTACAAGATTTTCCCTGTCCATCACTCTGATGACGAGGAACAAGAAGAAGTGACATCTTTACTGGATACCTTTACTTCTCAGTCTGGAGTGAGTAATATTTTTTATCTAGTTATAATTATTTGGTTATAATTTTTCTTGTTCTATTGATCAGGTGTATGTAAGTGGAGAAGATATCCTTAACATGATTAAATCAGAATAATTCAGCAAAGCCAAGTAATATGACTTATTTCCCCTAGAGCTTTTACTAGGATATCCCTCAGATTATTTAATAACCTGGAGGGTTATTAACTCAGGATAATTCAAGAAAACCAAATAATATGGTGTACGTGTATTTCCATTGGGCTCTTTTCTCTAGGATACACCCCCACAATTCCTGGGTACCTCTTTACTGCTAAGTGAAAAAGGAAGGAGTGTAAGGTAATCAGTCCCTTAGCCTTGAGTCGATGTGTTGAGTCCATATATGTATTGTACTTTTCTCAAGATTGACGGACTGAACACATCGAATCAAGGCTGAGGGACTGATTACTTCACACTCCTTCTCATCTTCTCCAATTCATCTCTGATATAAGGAGACTTGCCCATGTGTCTCACCCAACCAGAGAACTGAATGATTCCAAATACATTGAAGAAGGATTACTGTATTTTAAATTATTATTTATAAAGAATCCACCTGGTTTCACTAAATGTTGTCTAATTACACATGAATTAAAAAATACAGAAAGATTAGAATTAAAAAATTCTGGCTACTGCCTAAAAAAATACAATTCAATAGGATTATAAACTTATAGTGTGATTTCTTTCAATGTTTATGATGCAGGTCTGTATGACCCTTGTGGGTTTAGTGCTTAATTTTGATTGTAATAATAATAATACAATGCAGATAGCAACACTGATCCGACTTCAGTATTCACCGCTGCCACCAGCACTGGAAGGTGTGAGAGCATTAACCACAGAGGAGTGGAAACTAAGCAATGCAGAGGGTCATTTTGATCTCATCCCTAGCCTTCAGTTTAAGGGCTTCTACCAGACCCTCAACATGCTTATTCTTAGTGAAGGAGCTCAGAAAGGAAAGGTTGGCTTTAAGATTTCTCTGTAGCTGTTGCACAAGTTTACTTATTTTCATAAGTAAACTTGTGCAAGAAATTTTTTGTCCATTACAAGAAATTTAATATCATTGCTGTTGTCCATTACAATATATCCCCTCACTACCAGTGTAGTAGGGGTGTACAGTACTGTATAAAAAAAAAGGGTTTGTCTTGATTAAATTTTGCCTAGCTGCTGTACAGTACAAGTAAATTTGATGTTCTTAAAAATTAATTTTCCAAACAGGCACTGATGGTTGCCATGCAAGATCCAAGTGTTTGTGGAGAGGATGTTGTTAAGTTCATCAGTCATACAGGTCACCATACTAAGGTAAATATACAGTAGTAGTTGAGTCAGAGTAATAGCAGAATTTCTTACTTTTATTTAATATGCCACTTCCTAGTATGAAGCAACAGTGCCTATTAATCTACCCATATCTCTGTCCATTTTCACTTTCCAATTTTCCATTTTTATGTGGTTTGCAAGCACTAGGTCTTTAATGGGGATAAAGTGAAAAAGATGGGTCCCCAGCTCATTCTTGGAGGGAATATTTTGAGGAACTGTTAAATGTTCATGAAGATAGGGAAGGAAGCTGTGATTTTGTGCAATGGGCAGGGAGTTATAACATCTTGTAAGAGTAAGCAAGAGTGAGTTGTAAGTGTGCGAGAGGTGCGTGAGGTTGTGGGTAGAATGAATGGGGGTAAAGTAGCTGGGATTGATGAGATAAAGACAGAAATACTAAAAGCAGGTGGGGATATAGTTTTGGAATGGTTGGTGCCTTTCTTCTTTCTTTCAACACACCGGCCGTATCCCACCGAGGTGGGGTGGCCCAAAAGGAAAAACTAAAGTTTCTCCTTTTACATTTAGTAATATATACAGGAGAAGAGGTTACTAGCCCCTTGCTCCCGGCATTTTAGTCGCCTTTTACAACACGCATGGCTTACGGAGGAAGAATTCTGTTCCACTTCCCCATGGAGAGTTGGTGCTTTTATTTAATAAATATATGGAAGTGGAAAAGAATCCTTCCTCCATGGGAAAGTGAAAAAGAATTCTTCCTCTGTAAGCCATGCATGTCGTAAGAGGCGACTAAAATGATGGGAGCAAGGAGCTAGTGACATACAGCAGACATGTATGAGCATGTTAGATAGGAGTGAATAGAGATAAATGGTTTTTGGGAAGGAGAGAGGAATTACTTCCCAGTAAAAGTAGACCTTAGACAGGAATGTGTGATGTCTCCATGGTTGTTCAATATATTTATAGATGGGGTTGTAAGAGAAGTGAATCCTTGGGTGTTGGCAAGAGGTGTGGGATTAAAAGATAAAGAATCTAATACAAAGTGAGAGTTGTCACAGTTGCTTCTTGCTGATGACACTGTGCTTTTGGGAGATTCTGAAGAGAAGTTGCAGAGGTTGGTGGATGAGTGTGGAAGGGTATGTAAAAGAAGGAAATTAAAAATGAACATAGGAAAGAGCAAGGTGATGATCATAACAAAAAATTTAGATAATGAAAAAAAGACTAGATATCAGAATGGAGGAAGTGAATATATTCAGATATTTTGGAGCGAACTTTTCAGCAGATGGGTCTACGAAAGACAAGGTGAATCATAGAACTGATGAGGGGAAAATGGTGAGTGGTGCATTGAGGAGTCTGTGGAAACAAAGAACATTATCCACGGAAGCAAAGAGGGGAATGTATGAAAATATAGTTATACCAATGCTTTTATGTGGGTGTGAAGCATGGGTGGTGAATGTTGCAACAAAGAGAAGGCTGGAGACAGTGGAGATGTCTTGTCTGAGGGGAATGTCCAATGTGAATATAAAGCAGAGAATCTGTAGCTTGGAGATTAGAAGGTGTGGGATTTCTAGAAGTATTATCCAGAGGGCTGAGGAGGGGTTGTTGAGGTGGTTCAGACATTTAGAGAGAGTGGGACAAAATAGAATGACTTGGAGGGCATATAAATCTGTAGTGTAAGGTATGCAGGGGTAAAGGGTCAACCTAGGAAAGGTTGGAGGGAGGGGGTAAAGGAGGTTTTGTGTGCAAGGGGCTTGGACTTCCAGCAAACATGTGTGAGCATGTTAAATAGGAGTGAGTGGAGACAATTGGTTTTTATGACTTGACATGCTCTTGTAGTTCGAGCAAGGTAACATTTATGATGGGATTCAGGAAAACCGGTTTGCTGAACTTGAGTTCTGGAGGTGGGAAGTACAGTGCCTGTGTGTGCAAGGGGCTTGGACTTCCAGCAAACATGTATGAGCGTGTTAAATAGGAGTGAGTGGAGACAATTGGTTTTTATGACCTGACATGCTCTTGTAGTTCGAGCAAGGTAACATTTATGATGGGATTCAGGAAAACCGGTTTGCTGAACTTGAGTTCTGGAGGTGGGAAGTACAGTGCCTGTGCCCTGAAGGAGGGTTGTGGATATGTTGCAGTTTTTAAACTGTAGTGTAGATGCCCCTCTGGTGAGACAGTGATGGAGTGAATGATGTTGAAAGTGTTTCTTCTTTTTTGGGTCACCCCTGCCTTGGTGGGAAATGGCTGATGTGTTAATAAAAAAATACTTCTCTTTAAAGAACTGCCAAACTCATTACCATCTCAGTTAACACCAAATTATAATTTCCAGTCTCTGTGCCAATAAGACTCCCATACTCCATTTTTAAGTATTAATGCTCCATTGTAGTGAACCATCCATAAATATTTTTAATCACTTAGGAGTCTTTGGAGACAAAGAACTTTGTCCTTGGAGGCAAAGAGGGGAATGTATGAGAGTATAGTTTTACCAATGCTCTTATATGGGTGTGAAGCATGGGTGATGAATGTTGCAGCGAGGAGAAGGCTGGAGGCAGTGGAGATGTCATGTCTGAGGGCAATGTGTGGTGTGAATATAATGCAGAGAATTCGTAGTTTGGAAGTTAGGAGGAGGTGCGGGATTACCAAAACTGTTGTCCAGAGGGCTGAGGAAGGGTTGTTGAGGTGGTTCGGACATGTAGAAAGAATGGAGCGAAACAGAGTGACTTCAAGAGTGTATCAGTCTGTAGTGGAAGGGCGGGGTAGGGGTCGGCCTAGGAAAGGTTGGAGGGAGGGGGTAAAGGAGGTTTTGTGTGCGAGGGGCTTGGACTTCCAGCAGGCATGCATGAGCATGTTTGATAGGAGTGAATGGAGACAAATGGTTTTTAATACTTGACGTGCTGTTGGAGTGTGAGCAAAGTAACATTTATGAAGGGGTTCAGGGAAACCGGCAGGCCGGACTTGAGTCCTGTAGATGGGAAGTACAGTGCCTGCACTCTGAAGGAGGGGTGTTAATGTTGTAGTTTAAAAACTGTAGTGTAAAGCACCCTTCTGGCAAGACAGTGATGGAGTGAATGATGGTGAAAGTTTTTCTTTTTCGGGCCACCCTGCCTTGGTGGGAATCGGCCAGTGTGATAATAATAAAAAAAAAAAATAATAAAAAAATTAATGGTAAACTCCATGGGAAAGTGGAGAAGAATCCTTCCTCCATAAGACATGCATATTGTAAGAGATGACTAAAATGCTAGGAGCAAGGGGCTAGTAACCCCTTCTCCTGTATAAATTGGTAAATGTAAAAAGAAGAAAACCTTTTTGTTTTAATGTCTTTACATTTTGCTTCTACATCTCTGGCTACCCCAGTGTGGATGGGGACTCACATGAGATCTGGGAGAATATGCAGAAGATTGGGTAGTGAATAGCAAAGTTTCCTGTTGTAAAACAATTGCTATGGTTGATAGCATCAATACATCAGAGATTTTGCAATTTCATGATTGGTACAGTACATTATTTTGTCTAGTACTGTACTATTCAGCAATTAATGCAGTAGCATTCCTCTGCAGAGTCACTGCATTGAGGATGAAAAAAGAATACTGGACCTTGTAAGGGAGACACCGGGATTATCAACACTTCATATGGCTGCATTTTCCTATCTTACTTTAAACCTTCCTCAACAAGTAAGCTAAAAGAAATGTTTTATTCTTGTAATACACCAGTCTGTTTATTTGTTTAATTCATGTTAAGCACTAAACCCATGTGGGTCATTCAGTGCAGGACATGGTGGAGGCTTGATCCTCTCTCTGCTGAGTGCGAGACAGACCAGTACATCATATTTAGTTCTTAGAAGATGTAGCACATGTCATCCATTTGAGGATTTGTAGTTAGCAGTGGAAAAAATGTATCTTCCTCCACTTCAGTGATATCCCAACTAGCATATTTAATTCTGTGGAAGCAGCAACATGTGTCATTTCATTGACAAACACACAAAAGTGTTTTTAATATGTGCTTCTGTTTGTTCTAGATCATTCACCGCATGTCTCGAGCAGGTCAGTCTGTAAATGAACTAAGTGAGCACACAAGGAGAGAGGTGGAAGCTGCAGCAAGTGAGGAACTGCTGCGCTGCATGATGTTAATTCCTGCTCCTCCACCTGTCCTACCCAAAACTTTTTGCTCTGTTTTACCAGGTAAATCTGAGGTAATGAAGTGTTTTCCTTAGGTATTTTGCCTAGTACACTCCTAGGACTTTGTGTGAGTTCTTTTTGGATTGTTTTTTAATGGTGGCATGGGGCAACATGCCTGCCTCCTGCTTGGATAGGTAGCCAAGGAATTAGGCTTACTTAGAGCCAGCCAGATTTATTTAAATCTGAAATAATAATGAAATTAAATAATATGACACATTAGTTGTGACTTTTTAATTATATGCTACTGATAAAGGTGATATAAAGTAAGATATTAATTCTCGAAATTCATTCCAAAATGTCATTATCCTTTATGTTTATTGAGAGAGTAGTTGGATGGGTAACTTCTTTCAACAAACCGGCCGCATCCCACCGAGGCAGGGTGGCCCAAAAAGAAAAACAAAAGTTTCTCTTTCTAAATTTAGTAATTTATACAGGAGAAGGGGTTACTAGCCCTCTGCTCCCAGCATTTTAGTCGCCTCTTACAACACGCATGGCTTATGGAGGAAGAATTCTGTTCCACTTCCCTATGGAGATAAGAGGAAATAAACAAGAACAAGAACTAGAAAGAAAATAGCAGAAAACCCAGAGGGGTGTGTGTATATATATGCTTGTACATGTATGTATAGTGTGACCTAAGTGTAAGTAGAAGTAGCAAGACGTACCTGAAATCTTGCATGTTTATGAGACAGAAAAAAGGACACCAGCAATTCTACCATCATGTAAAACAATTACAGGCTTTCGTTTTACACTCGCTTGGCAGGACGGTAGCACCTCCCTGGGTAGTTGCTGTCTACCAACCTACTACCTAGGCGGATGCGTAACATAAGAATATATTATAGAAAGGTCTAAAAATAAAGAAGCTGAGCTAGGAGAATCTCTAAGAACAAATCATGAAATGAAGATATATTTTTTTTATTATCACACTGGCCGATTCCCACCAAGGCAGGGTGGCCCGAAAAAGAAAAACTTTCACCATCATTCACTCCATCACTGTCTTGCCAGAAGGGTGCTTTACACTACAGTTTTTAAACTGCAACATTAACACCCCTCCTTCAGAGTGCAGGCACTGTACTTCCCATCTCCAGGACTCAAGTCCGGCTTGCCGGTTTCCCTGAATCCCTTCATAAATGTTACTTTGCTCACACTCCAACAGCACGTCAAGTATTAAAAACCATTTGTCTCCATTCACTCCTATCAAACACGCTCACGCATGCCTGCTGGAAGTCCAAACCCCTCGCACACAAAACCTCCTTTACCCCCTCCCTCCAACCTTTCCTAGGCCGACCCCTACCCCGCCTTCCTTCCACTACAGACTGATACACTCTTTAAGTCATTCTGTTTCGCTCCATTCTCTCTACATGTCCGAACCACCTCAACAACCCTTCCTCAGCCCTCTGGACAACAGTTTTGGTAATCCCGCACCTCCTCCTAACTTCCAAACTACGAATTCTCTGCATTATATTCACACCACACATTGCCCTCAGACATGACATCTCCACTGCCTCCAGCCTTCTCCTTGCTGCAACATTCATCACCCACGCTTCACACCCATATAAGAGCGTTGGTAAAACTATACTCTCATACATTCCCCTCTTTGCCTCCAAGGACAAAGTTCTTTGTCTCCACAGACTCCTAAGTGCACCACTCACTCTTTTTCCCTCATCAATTCTATGATTCACCTTATCTTTCATAGACCCATCCGCTGACACGTCCACTCCCAAATATCTGAATACGTTCACCTCCTCCATACTCTCTCCCTCCAATCTGATATCCAATCTTTCATCACCTAATCTTTTTGTTATCCTCATAACCTTACTCTTTCCTGTATTCACCTTTAATTTTCTTCTTTTGCACACCCTACCAAATTCATCCACCAATCTCTGCGACTTCTCTTCAGAATCTCCCAAGAGCACAGTGTCATCAGCAAAGAGCAGCTGTGACAACTCCCACTTTGTGTGTGATTCTTTATCTTTTAATTCCACGCCTCTTGCCAAGACCCTCGCATTTACTTCTCTTACAACCCCATCTTTTTTATTTTTATTATCACACTGGCCGATTCCCACCAAGGCAGGGTGGCCCGAAAAAGAAAAACTTTCACCATCATTCACTCCATCACTGTCTTGCCAGAAGGGTGCTTTACACTACAGTTTTTAAACTGCAACATTAACACCCCTCCTTCAGAGTGCAGGCACTGTACTTCCCATCTCCAGGACTCAAGTCCGGCCTGCCGGTTTCCTTGAACCCCTTCATAAATGTTACTTTGCTCACACTCCAACAGCACATCAAGTATTAAAAAAACCATTTGTCTCCATTCACTCCAATCAAATACGCTCACGCATGCCTGCTGGAAGTCCAAGCCCCTCGCACACAAAACCTCCTTTACCCCCTCCCTCCAACCTTTCCTAGGCCGACCCCTACCCCGCCTTCCTTCCACTACAGACTGATACACTCTTGAAGTTATTCTGTTTCGCTCCATTCTCTCCACATGTCCGAACCACCTCAACAACCCTTCCTCAGCCCTCTGGACAACAGTTTTGGTAATCCCGCACCTCCTCCTAACTTCCAAACTACGAATTCTCTGCATTATATTCACACCACACATTGCTCTCGGACATGACATCTCCACTGCCTCCAGCCTTCTCCTCGCTGCAACATTCATCACCCATGCTTCACACCCATATAAGAGCGTTGGTAAAACTATACTCTCATACATTCCCCTCTTTGCCTCCAAGGACAAAGTTTCTTTGTCTCCACAGACTCCGAAGTGCACCACTCACCCTTTTCCCCTCATCAATTCTATGATTCACCTCATCTTTCATAGACCCATCCGCTGACACGTCCACTCCCAAATATCTGAATACATTCACCTCCTCCATACTCTCTCCCTCCAATCTGATATCCAATCTTTCATCACTTAATCTTTTTGTTATCCTCATAACCTTACTCTTTCCTGTATTCACTTTCAATTTTCTTCTTTTGCACACCCTACCAAATTCATCCACCAATCTCTGCAACTTCTCTTCAGAATCTCCCAAGAGCACAGTGTCATCAGCAAAGAGCAACTGTGACAACTCCCACTTTATGTGTGATTCTTTATCTTTTAACTCCACGCCTCTTGCCAAGACCCTCACATTTACTTCTCTTACAACCCCATCAATAAATATATTAAACAACCACGGTGACATCACACATCCTTGTCTAAGGCCTACTTTTACTGGGAAATAATTTCCCTCTTTCCTACATACTCTAACTTGAGCCTCACTATCCTCGTAAAAAACTCTTCACTGCTTTCAGTAACCTACCTCCTACACCATACACTTGCAACATCTGCCACATTGCCCCCCTATCCACCCTGTCATATGCCTTTTCCAAATCCATAAATGCCACAAAGACCTCTTTACCCTTATCTAAATACTGTTCACTTATATGTTTCACTGTAAACACCTGGTCCACACACCCCCTACCTTTCTAAAGCCTCCTTGTTCATCTGCTATCCTATTCTCCGTCTTACTCTTAATTCTTTCAATTATAACTCTACCATACACTTTACCAGGTATACTCAACAGGCTTATCCCCCTATAATTTTTGCACTCTCTTTTATCCCCTTTGCCTTTATACAAAGGAACTATGCATGCTCTCTCTGCCAATCCCTAGGTACCTTACCCTCTTCTATACATTTATTAAATAATTGCACCAACCACTCCAAAAACTATATCCCCACCTGCTTTTAACATTTCTATCTTTATCCCATCAATCCCGGCTGCCTTACCCCCTTTCATTTTACCTTCTGCCTCACGAACTTCCCCCACACTCACAACTGGCTCTTCCTCACTCCTACAAGATGTTATTCCTCCTTGCCCTATACACGAAATCACAGCTTCCCTATCTTCATTAACATTTAACAATTCCTCAAAATATTCCCTCCATCTTCCCAATACCTCTAACTCTCCATTTAATAACTCTCCTCTCCTATTTTTAACTGACAAAATCCATTTGTTCTCTAGGCTTTCTTAACTTGTTAATCTCACTCCAAAACTTTTTCTTATTTTCAACAAAATTTGTTGATAACATCTCACCCACTCTCTCATTTGCTCTCTTTTTACATTGCTTCACCACTCTCTTAACCTCTCTCTTTTTCTCCATATACTCTTCCCTCCTTGCATCACTTCTACTTTGTAAAAACTTCTCATATGCTAACTTTTTCTCCCTTACTACTCTCTTTACATCATCATTCCACCAATCGCTCCTCTTCCCTCTGCACCCACTTTCCTGTAACCACAAACTTCTGCTGAACACTCTAACACTACATTTTTAAACCTACCCCATACCTCTTCGACCCCATTGCCTATGCTCTCATTAGCCCATCTATCCTCCAATAGCTGTTTATATCTTACCCTAACTGCCTCCTCTTTTAGTTTATAAACCTTCACCTCTCTCTTCCCTGATGCTTCTATTCTCCTTGTATCCCATCTACCTTTTACTCTCAGTGTAGCTACAACTAGAAAGTGATCTGATATATCTGTGGCCCCTCTATAAACATGTACATCCTGAAGTCTACTCAACAGTCTTTTATCTACCAATACATAATCCAACAAAACTACTGTCATTTTGCCCTACATCATATCTTGTATACTTATTTATCCTCTTTTTCTTAAAATATGTATTACCTATAACTAAACCCCTTTCTATACAAAGTTCAATCAAAGGGCTCCCATTATCATTTACACCTGGCACCCCAAACTTACCTACCACACCCTCTAAAAGTTTCTCCTACTTTAGCATTCAGGTCCCCTACCACAATTACTCTCTCACTTGGTTCAAAGGCTCCTATACATTCACTTAACATCTCCCAAAATCTCTCTCTCTCCTCTGCATTCCTCTCTTCTCCAGGTGCATACACGCTTATTATGACCCACTTCTCACATCCAACCTTTAGTTTAATCCACATAATTCTTGAATTTACACATTCATATTCTCTTTTCTCCTTCCATAACTGATCATTTAACATTACTGCTACCCCTTCCTTTGCTCTAACTCTCTCAGATACTCCAGATTTAATCCCATTTATTTCCCCCCACTGAAACTCTCCTAGCCCCTTCAGCTTTGTTTCGCTTAGGGCCAGGACATCCAACTTCTTTTCATTCATAACATCAGCAATCATCTGTTTCTTGTCATCCGCACTACATCCACGCACATTTAAGCATCCCAGTTTTATAAAGTTTTTCTTCTTCTCTTTTTTAGTAAATGTCTACAGGAGAAGGGGTTACTAGCCCATTGCTCCCGGCATTTTAGTCGCCTCATACGACACGCATGGCTTATGGAGGAAAGATTCTTTTCCACTTCCCCATGGACAATAGAAGAAATAAAGAAGAACAAGAGCTATTTAGAAAACGGAGAAAAACCTAGATGTACGTATATATATATGCATGTGCGTGTCTGTGAAGTGTGACCAAAGTGTAAGTAGGAGTAGCAAGATATCCCTGTTATCTAGCGTGTTTATGAGACAGAAAAAGAAACCAGCAATCCTACCATCATGCAAAACAGTTACAGGTTTTTGTTTCACAGTCATCTGGCAGGACGGTAGTACTTCCCTGGGTGGTTGCTGTCTACCAACCTACTACCTATGAAGATATACTCAGGTTATATTTTTTTTGACAGAGACAGCAGTAAGCAGCACTGAGTGGCCTGAATATATTGCTCTGGCTAAGGTTGAAGCTGATGCTGAAAAATCATTACTTGCCCGCCGCCACTCAGGTAAGAGAACATAATACAATATTATAGTACTGGGGTCCATCACTTACAAATGCCCCAGCTAAGATGAACCACTCAAAATCTTTCATCCCACTCCCTGCAATTTTTCCTGGGATGACCCTTACCCTTCATTTCCTCAGCCCCAGATTTATACACCCTCTTTAATCATCATCTTTTTCTCCATCCTCTATAAATATCCAAACCACCTCAACACCTCCTCAGATCTCTAAATAATACATTTGGTAATCCCACATCTAATCTCCAAGCTCTGAATTCTCTGCTTATTCACACCACACATTGCCTTAAAAAAATAACATCTCTACTGCCTGTTTAATTATTTTGCCTGAAGGAAGATTCAATTGCAGTGTCCTTCCTCAAGGGAGGTTCCTTGATGCTGGTGAGGGGGCTCTTGCTGTAAAAAATTAAATTGAACCTGAATGACTTTCATTCCCCAGACACTATATAAGTTTTGTGCTTCCCCATAATTGTAATTATTTACGAGAATCCCTCAGACTCGTTGGTCTCATCTGTGAGTACTGCTGCTGTTTTCTTAGCAATTGAACTTGAACCATCAGTCCTTAATTTCTAAATGTGATAATCATATGAGCTTCACTGCATTAATATTTGCCTCTGGTCAATTATTTTATTAGGTAGTCTCTACATTTTATTTTCAGGTGATTTGCTTGGAGGGCTTGCCCCACCACCACACACTGATGCCATTCTCACTCTTGAAGCTGCCCAGCTCACTAAGCTCTTTACTAAGAGTGGCCAGCCAGTAGACAGAGTAAAACAGAAAATGATTACACACAGTGAGTTAATACTTGTTCTTCTGTTGTATAACAATAGTGATAAAGGCAGAAAAGTTGGGTGTGTATAGAAGTTTTTTTGCATTGTAAAATATTGTTTTTTTTTATTAACATATCAGCCATTTCCCACCAAGGTAGGGTGGCCTGAAAAAAAAAAACTTTCATCATCATTTACTCCATCACTGTCTTGCCAGAGGCGCACTTACACTACAGTTATAAAACTGCAACATTAATACCCATCCTTCAGAGTGCAGGCACTGTACTTTCCATCTCCAGGACTCAAGTCCAGCCTGCCAGTTTCTCTGAATCCCTTCATAAATGTTACCTTGCTCACACTCAAACAGCACGTCAAGTCCTAAAAACCATTTGTCTCCATTTGCTCCTATCTAACATGCCTATGCATGCTTGCTGAAGTACAGGCACCTCACACACAAAACTTCCTTTACCCCCTCCCACCAGCCTTTCCTAGGCCAACCCCTACCCTGCCTTCCCTCCACTACAGATTTATACACTCAGAGTTATTCTATTTTGTTCTCTGTTCTCTACATGTCCAAACCACCTCAGCAACCCCTCCTCAGCCCTCTGGATAATACTAGTTTTTGGTAATCCTGCACCTCCTCCTAATTTCCAAACTATGAATTCTCTGCGTTATATTCATGTCAGACATTGCCCTCAGACATGACATCTCCACTGCCTCCAGCCTTCTTGTTGCAACATTCACCACCCATGCTTCACACCCATATAAGAGCGTTGGTATAACTATACTCTCATACATTCCCCTCTTTGCTTCCACAGACGAAGTTCTTTGTCTCCTCAGATTCCTCGGTGCACCACTCACCTTTTTCCCCCTTGTCATTTCTATGATTCACCTCATCTTTCATAGACCCATATATCTGCACTGAAGTGCAGATATATCGGTGGGAGACGGCCGACTTGTTGAAAAAAAAAATTAAAGTAACAAAAAACTGCAGAATATAAGCAAATGAAAGAATGGATGAAGAATTCTCAACATATGTTATTAAATACTATAGGCAATGTTTTTGGGAAATGAATAAATTGAGGACACTAAGGAAGAAAATAGATCTGCAAGTTAAGAGTGAAGGTAATAAGATGTTGGGAGATGGGGAGAATATTGAAGTGAGCTGTGATTGTTTTTATCTAGAGATTAAACTAGAGTGAATGATTGTGAATATGTTTACTTCGGATTATCCTTCTTTGGTGTTGACGTGATGTGCTACAAAAACAATTTTATTTGAATATAATGTGCGCCTTCTCCATGGGAAAGTGGAACAGAATTCTTCCTCCGTAAGCTGTGTGTGTCGTAAGAGGCGACTAAAATGCTGGGAGCAAGGAGCAGTAACCCCTTTTCTTTTATAAATTGCTAAATTTAAAAAGAGAAACTTTCGTTTTTCTTTTTGGGCCACCCTGCCTCAGTGGGATATGGCCAGTTTATTGAAAGAAGAATATCTGTGCACCTCTGGAAAGACAGTGATAGTGTGAATGACGGCAAAAGTGTTTCTTTTTTTTGGGTGACCCTGCCTTGGTGGGAGATGGCCAGTGTGTTAAAAAATGAATATAACACTTTTAGATTTCACAGAAAGAAAATTTTTATGCCATGCAATATATTGCGTTTTTTAATTGTAGCATCATCAGGTCGACATTCCTTCAAAATAAAATCAACCTTGCAAGAAGCGGTTTCTCTAACTTGGCCAGAATCACTTTATGCTCACCATCATGGTATTTAGTAAGTATTTTTTTTTTAAGAACTTTTACACTTTCCTATAAGAAACAAAAGTAATCTCATTTTCCTAATTTATTTTAACAGTATTCCTTAACATCTGGTGTCTTCTGTTTGACATATTTGTTACATTTGTAAGGTCTTTATTAATATAATCATTAGGAAAGTTATCTCATTCTACATTAACCTAGAGTTTCCTGAATTCATTGTATTCTGTAGAGTGACAATATGGAACTTATATTATGCCAGGCTTTTCTGTGATCCTAGATTATTTATGAGGGTCTTGTTTGCCAGGCCAGGCAAATTATTACCTCTTGTTGCTTCTGTCACAAACTGCTTTAAAAAAACAATCCTGGATAACTCTAGGAAGCTGCTGGACTCAAGATTCCCATTCAAAGAGTTCCAGTCAGTTTGTCTCAAAGCAGTCTTCGTTGGGCACTTTGAGTTTGGGAACTAGTATAACGTATTTAAAATAAGTTTCATCTATTATATTAATTGTATGTAGAAACTCAAGTATTCTCTATTACTGTGTATGATTGCACTTCACCTTTCTTTTATTAACATGAAAGAATTTAAACTCTTGAATGTGGCATTTAGCAGGCATTTAATTAACCTTAACTTGTTTTGCTTGTTTCTAGCACTACAATTATTTGTGTAATACATGCCAAGAAAGTTTTTCTTCTGTATTATCATGATTTTTTCACTTATTTATGATAAAAAATATGATTTATCACCCCTGTTTATGATATGTTTGAATAAATGGAAAAGACAGATACCATAGTAGTATTTGGGTGTTGTTAGAAATCAGAGGACCAACTCAGGACAGTGATTTTGAAGAGGTGGTTTAGAGTGTGCCATTATATACCATTGTAAAAGTTCACCCCAGGTTTAAAAAAAAAAAAACTTGTATGTCTGAATTTACAGTAACTATATCATAACTCATTGGCATGTAACTGTCACCAGTAGCTCTGGTGATGATCTTCAGTGGTTCTTTTTTGTTGTATTGAGTGCTTTCTTCACCCTTTTTGTGATATGCTTAGTCCTCATATATCTTGGTCTAAAAGTTCAAGAAGAGCATCTGTATCCTTGCATGAGAAGTGTGGACAGTGAGGGAGGCTATTTATCTTTTGTTTGGAATTAATTTCACTAAGAATTCATTTGAAAAAAGTGTGAAGTATTGGGTAGGATGGAAGTGGGTAAAGCAACTGGGATAGAAGGGATTAAGACTGAAATACTTCAAGTAGGTAGGTATATACAGTGGACCCCCGCCTTACGAACGCATCGCCTTATGTTAAATCCACCATACGAAGCATTTGAATGCAAAAATTTTGCCTCGCCTCACGATAAAAAACTCGTCTTATGTGATTCGTCCGGGACGCGTCCCATGTGTGGCCTCAGCTGCCCCGTGGGTGCCAGTGTTTGCAAGCCAGCCAGTGCGGGCGCATCCACGCATACATTCGGTACATTTCACCTTATCCCAGTGTTTTTTGTGCTTGTAACTGCAAAATAAATCACCATGGACCCCAAGAAAGCTTCTAGTGCCAACCCTGTGGTAAAAAGGGTGAGAATTAGTATGGAAATTAAGAAAGATTTTGAAGGGTTTGGGGCTAACCCTGAGAAGCCTATGCCAGTTGTGGAATCCATTGTGCCTACTTCAAAGATTAAGAAAATGTGTGCAAAGTGGGTTGAAGTGCAAACCTTTATGGATGAAAATCACCCTAACACAGCTATTGCAAGCCATGCTGGTGACTACAGTGGACCCCCGGTTAACGATATTTTTTCACTCCAGAAGTATGTTCAGGTGCCAGTACTGACCGAATTTGTTCCCATAAGGAATATTGTGAAGTAGATTAGTCCATTTCAGACCCCCAAACATACACGTACAAACGCACTTACATAAATACACTTACATAATTAGTCGCATTGGGAGGTGATCGTTATGCGGGGGTCCACTGTATTACAATGACAATGTTGTGGCCCATTTTAGGCAAATCTTAAAGGAACAGGAGGTACAGACCTCTATGGACAGATTTGTTGTGTGACAGAGGTTCAGTGACTCTCAAGCTGGTCCTAGTGGCATTAAAAGAAGAAGGGAAGTAACCCCGGAAAAGGTCTTGCTACCTCAAGTCCTAATGGAAGGGGATTCCCCTTCTAAACAATAACTTCCACACTCTCCCCTCCTCCCATCCCATCAGTCATCACCAGATCTTCAGTAAAGGTAAGTGTCATGTATTCTATTCTTAGTAGAGTAGTAGAGTAGTAATTGTGCATGTCTTCTTCAGTTTGTGTGTATTAAAATTAATATTTCATGTGGTAAAAATTTTGTTTTTTCATACTTTGGGGTGTCTTGCATGGATTAATTTGATTTCCATTATTTTTTATGGGGAAAATTAATTCGCCTTACGATAATTTAGGCTTACGATGAGCTCTCAGGAATGGATTAATATCGTAAGGCGAGGGTTCACTGTAGTTTTGGAATGCTTGCTTTATTTATATAACATCCATGAATGAAGAGAAGGTACCACAAGATTCGGAGAAAGCATGGACAGTTCCTTTATATAAGGGAAAAAGGGACACGAGAGAGTTAGAATTATAGGAGAATAAGTTGAATATGCCAGGTAAAATATACAGTAGAATTATTACTGAAAATTTAAGACAGAAAGTGGGATTGCAGACGAACGGGGATGATTTGGGAAGGGAAGGGGCTGTGTAGACCAAGTGTCTACTTTAAAGCATATAAATGAACAAAACTACATTGATAAGGGTAAGGAACTTCTTGTTTTATTTGATTTAGAAAAGGACACATAGTAAGGTGGATAGGGAAGCAACATAGCAGATATTGCAAATGTATAGGATCCATGGTTATTAAAAGTTTTTTTTTTTTTTTTTTTTTTATCACACTGGCCGATTCCCACCAAGGCAGGGTGGCCCGAAAAAGAAAAACTTTCACCATCATTCACTCCATCACTGTCTTGCCAGAAGGGTGCTTTACACTACAGTTTTTAAACTGCAACATTAACACCCCTCCTTCAGAGTGCAGGCACTGTACTTCCCATCTCCAGGACTCAAGTCCGGCCTGCCGGTTTCCCTGAACCCCTTCATAAATGTTACTTTGCTCACACTCCAACAGCACGTCAAGTATTAAAAACCATTCGTCTCCATTCACTCCTATCAAACACGCTCACGTACGCCTGCTGGAAGTCCAAGCCCCTCGCACACAAAACCTCCTTTACCCCCTCCCTCCAACCTTTCCTAGGCCGACCCCTTCCCTGCCTTCCGTCCACTACAGACTGATACACTCTTGAAGTCATTCTGTTTCGCTCCATTCTCTCTACATGTCCGAACCAACTCAACAACCCTTCCTCAGCCCTCTGGACAACAGTTTTGGTAATCCCGCACCTCCTCCTAACTTCCAAACTACGAATTCTCTGCATTATATTCACACCACACATTGCCCTCAGACATGACAACTCCACTGCCTCCAGCCTTTTCCTCACTCGAACATTCATCACCCATGCTTCACACCCATATAAGAGTGTTGGTAAAACTATACTCTCATACATTCCCCTCTTTGCCTCCAAGGACAAAGTTCTTTGTCTCCACAGACTCCTAAGTGCACCACTCACCCTTTTCCCCTCATCAATTCTATGATTCACCACATCCTTCATAGACCCATCCGCTGACACGTCCACTCCCAAATATCTGAATACATTCACCTCCTCCATACTCTCTCCCTCCAATCTGATATCCAATCTTTCATCACCTAATATTTTTGTTATCCTCATAACCTTACTCTTTCCTGTATTCACTTTTAATTTTCTTCTTTTGCACACCCTACCAAATTCATCCACCAATCTCTGCAACTTCTCTTCAGAATCTCCCAAGAGCACAGTGTCATCAGCAAAGAGCAACTGTGACAACTCCCACTTTATGTGTGATTCTTTATCTTTTAACTCCACGCCTCTTGTCAAGACCCTCACATTTACTTCTCTTACAACCCCATCTATAAATATATTAAACAACCACGGTGACATCACACATCCTTGTCTAAGGCCTACTTTTACTGGGAAATAATTTCCCTCTTTCCTATGTACTCTAACTTGAGCCTCACTATCCTCGTAAAAACTCTTCACTGCTTTCAGTAACCTACCTACTACACCATACACCTGCAACATCTGCCACATTGCCCCCCTATCCACCCTGTCATACGCCTTTTCCAAATCCATAAATGCCACAAAGACCTCTTTAGCCTTATCTAAATACTGTTCACTTATGTGTTTCACTGTAAACACCTGGTCCACACACCCCCTACCTTTCCTAAAGCCTCCTTGTTCATCTGCTATCCTATTCTCAGTCTTACTTTTAATTCTTTCAATAATAACTCTACCATACACTTTACCAGGTATACTCAACGGACTTATCCCCCTATAATTTTTGCACTCTCTTTTGTCCCCTTTGCCTTTATACAAAGGAACTATGCATGCTCTCTGCCAATCCCTAGGTACCTTACCCTCTTCCATACATTTATTAAATAATTGCACCAGCCACTCCAAAACTATATCCCCACCTGCTTTTAACATTTCTGTCTTTATCCCATCAATCCCGGCTGCCTTACCCCCTTTCATTTTACCTACTGCCTCACGAACTTCCCCCACACTCACAACTGGCTCTTCCTCACTCCTACAAGATGTTATTCCTCCTTGCCCTATACACGAAATCACAGCTTCCCTATCTTCATCAACATTTAACAATTCCTCAAAATATTCCCTCCATCTTCCCAATACCTATAACTCTCCATTTAATAACTCTCCTCTCCTATTTTTAACTGACAAATCCATTTGTTCTCTAGGCTTCCTTAACTTGTTAATCTCACTCCAAAACTTTTTCTTATTTTCAACAAAATTTGTTGATAACATCTCACCCACTCTCTCATTTGCTCTCTTTTTACATTGCTTCACCACTCTCTTAACCTCTCTCTTTTTCTCCATATACTCTTCCCTCCTTGCATCACTTCTACTTTGTAAAAACTTCTCATATACTAACTTTTTCTCCCTTACTACTCTCTTTACATCATCATTCCACCAATCACTCCTCTTCCCTCCCGCACCCACTTTCCTGTAACCACAAACTTCTGCTGAACACTCTAACACTACATTTTTAAACCTACCCCATACCTCTTCGACCCCATTGCCTATGCTCTCATTAGCCCATCTATCCTCCAATAGCTGTTTATATTCTTTCCCTAACTGCCTCCTCTTTTAGTTTATAAACCTTCACCTCTCTCTTCCCTGATGCTTCTATTCTCCTTGTATCCCATCTACCTTTTACTCTCAGTGTAGCTACAACTAGAAAGTGATCTGATATATCTGTGGCCCCTCTGTAAACATGTACATCCTGAAGTCTACTCAACAGTCTTTTATCTACCAATACATAATCCAACAAACTACTGTCATTTTGCCCTACATCATATCTTGTATACTTATTTATCCTCTTTTTCTTAAAATATGTATTACCTATAACTAAACCCCTTTCTATACAAAGTTCAATCAAAGGGCTCCCATTATCATTTACACCTGGCACCCCAAACTTACCTACCACACCCTCTCTAAAAGTTTCTCCTACTTTAGCATTCAGGTCCCCTACCACAATTACTCCCTCACTTGGTTCAAAGTCTCCTATACATTCACTTAACATCTCCCAAAATCTCTCTGTCTCCTCTGCATTCCTCTCTTCTCCAGGTGCATACACGCTTATTATGACCCACTTCTCGCATCCAACCTTTACTTTAATCCACATAATTCTTGCATTTACACATTCATATTCTCTTTTCTCCTTCCATAACTGATCATTCAACATTACTGCTACCCCTTCCTTTGCTCTAACTCTCTCAGATACTCCAGATTTAATCCCATTTATTTCCCCCCACCGAAACTCCCCTACCCCCTTCAGCTTTGTTTCGCTTAGGGCCAGGACATCCAACTTCTTTTCATTCATAACATCAGCAATCATCTGTTTCTTGTCATCTGCACTACATCCACACACATTCAAGCATCCCAGTTTTATAAAGTTTTTCTTCTTCTCTTTTTTAGTAAATGTCTACAGGAGAAGGGGTTACTAGCCCATTGCTCCCGGCATTTTAGTCGCCTCATACGACACGCATGGCTTACGGAGGAAAGATTCTTTTCCACTTCCCCATGGACAATAGAAGAAATAAAGAAGAACAAGAGCTATGTAGAAAAAGGAGAAAAACCTAGATGTATGTATATATATATGCATGTGCATGTCTGTGAAGTGTGACCAAAGTGTAAGTTGGAGTAGCAAGATATCCCTGTTATCTAGCATGTTTATGAGACAGAAAAAGACACCAGCAATCCTACCATCATGCAAAACAGTTACAGGTTTCTGTTTCACAGTCATCTGGCAGGACGGTAGTACTTCCCTGGGTGGTTGCTGTCTACCAACCTACTACCTATTAAAAGGTATTTGTTTTAATGAGAGGGAGGTTCAGGTTAGGGTATGTAGAAGGGCACTTTGTCCAGTGGAAATAGGCTTTAGATGAGGCTGTGTGATGTCTGTTTGTTTATATATTTATGGATGGTGTTGAAAAAGAAGTGAATTCTAGTGTTGTGGAGAGGTGTGGGCTTCATAGATAATGAATCTGATATGAGGTGAGAGTTGTTACATTTGCTGTTGACTACTTTAAGGAGTTTCTAAGAAGTTGCAAAGATTAGTGAAGGGGTTTGAGAGGAGTATGTACAAGAAGAAAATTAAAAGTAAGCATAGACCAAAAAGCAAGGTGATGCGAGTGAGAAAAAGTCTGGACAATAAAGATTGAATATCAGTGGAGGGAATGAGTTTGGAGGAAATTAATGTATTTAGGTATAGTGGAACCTCTACTTACGAGTTTAATCCGTTCCATGACCTTGCTCGCATCTGGATTTGCTCGTTTGCAGAGTCAGTTTTCCTTATTTAAATTAATTGAAATGGAATTAATTCATTCCAGTGGAATTCCAGGCACGAGAAAATACTTCAATAATTTCCCTAATATCAACTCTGTGGCTCATTTATCTATCACAATTCATGTAATACAACATAATAAACAATATTGATAACATAGAAACATGATATATACACTAGAATGAATAAAATAAATGTCATTACGTATGTGGCTAGTGGTAGTGACAGCGGCCATTGTTTTTTGTTGGGGTTTATAGGGCCACCACAGCGGCCATTCCTGCTCCTGACTACATGTGCAGAGAACCTAGGATAACCCAAAAAAGTCAGACAGAGTGACATAAGTGCTACACTCTTGATGCTACACTTCATTGCTACACTCTCAGTGCTACACTTAATTGTTACACTCTTAATGTTACACTTAATTGCTACACTTTGCCACTGCTACTTCATGTTGTCTGCCACTGCTGCTTCATGATGTCTGCCATTGCTGCTTCATGTTGTCTGCCACTGCTGCTTCATGTTGTCTGCCACTGCTGCTTCATGTTGTCTGCCACTGCTGCTTCATGTTGTCTGCCACTGCTGCTTCATGTTGTCTGCCACTGCTGCATCATGTTGTCTGCCACTGCTGCATCATGTTGTCTGCCACTGCTGCTTCATGTTGTCTGCCATTGCTGCTTCATGGTGTCTGCCACTGCTACCTCATGTTGTCTGCCACTGCTGCTTCATGTTGTCTGCCACTGCTACCTCATGATGTCTGCTCCCACTTTTGCTAGCATGTTGAAGAGCTTTCCAATATATGAAGGTTGAGGGGCAGTGCCGATCGGACAGGCATTGAATGGTGACGTCATTTGTTTACTCTTGAACATCGCCAAAGAATCAAATATTTCTGCAACCTTGAGCTCAATTTCAACGTACTTTTCGTCATGAAACCAATCAAAATCATATCCATTTCTGTAGTATATCTTCCATGCTATCAAATGAGACCACAAAAACGAGAATACAACCATAAAAACTATATGAAAATATACTGCTAAGGGGAAGCTAATGGCTGAGAAGTGAACTCCGCTATTTATGGCCCGATTTCTTTCATTTTTGGTGTACGCTAAGAAGCATCTTTCCATCATACATTGCCCAAGTTTCAATAAGATAGTCCAAAAAAACAACTGAGATCCAGTTCCCTAGATCAAGAGCAAGAGCCCCTCACCAGCATCAAGGAACCCCCTTGAGGCCTGCTTACATCTGGAAATTTCGCTCGCATCTGGAAGCAAAAAATCAACCGAGCGACTGCTCGTATCTGGAAAAACTTGCACTCGTAAGTAGAGGTTCCACTGTATTTGGAAGTAGATATGGTGATAATGTGTGCTTGGAAAAAGTAGTTCTTATTCCCAACCAACTTACAAATTGGAAATGAAAGCTGGATGACATTTTAGTCTGTCCTGGACCACTACACATGGGATTTTATAATAGTCCAGGACAGATCAAAACATATTAGTTTAGTTTTCATTTCCAGTTTGTGGATTATATAGTTGTGAATTGATGCAGTCACTGTATTGTGACATATACTTCAGTTCTTATTCCCTTCAAACAAGGGGCACTGCCTCACCTTTATGATGGTGAAACCAGCATGTAAAATTTTTTGTACAAATGTTTCAGGTCTTCCACCAAGTTTTTTTTTTTTTTTTAACCACATTAAATGAAATGCCTGAGGCATATTGTACATTTGTCTATCCCCTCTTGGATGGGAAGTTACCAGAGGAAACAAGACATAAATAATATGAATACTGTAGAATATATGAATTAATATTTTAACATTCACCTTTTAATGTCTGTTCTGAGATTATGTGTTCATCACAACTAAACCACAAGTTAAAAATGAATATTAGATGGCATTTTGATAAATCATTATTTATGTATTTATTCTCATACAGTGCCAAATCCATGTGGGTCATTCAACACAGGGCAGTGGAAGCTCAATTGTCTGTTTGCTAATCATGGCCCAATCTCAGATCAGTCAGGCTTTTTGTGGTTGCTTTGTGTGTCATGGATCATTATCAAGATGCAAATTTATTATACTTTATTATTATTACTGTATATTTATGGGAAGCACTAAACCTGTAGAGATCATAGTGTGTATGGAGAATGGGAGGCAATCAAGTTTGGTCCGAGAAAGAGGATAGTTCCAATTCCTTGGATTAAGAACTCCTCATCAGCATCAGGAGTCCTTCCCCCTCCCCATGGTGTGAATTGATAATGGTACAGAATGGACCAAAATGTCTATTTTCTATTTTCATTTTGTGGGTTGTGTATTGTTCCAGGCACAGTTTTGTGATGTGTATTCATTTTTTTCTTTTTCTAATTGATTTACTTTCTCTAGTGAACTTAATTTTAAAACTGAAATAGGAAGTGCATGAATATTATTAAATTGTTTCTGATTTTCTGTTGTTGCTAGAATTGTAAGCAATCATTATTAGTTTGAAAGATATAGATTTTGAAAGATAGAGATAGAACATTATTTTCAGTTACAATGTTGATGAGCGATGCGAGAAGTACAATGAACAGTGTAACCAGGTAAAAAATCGCTACATCAGACAAGAAACTGCAGCCACCTGTACTGTGTTCCAAGACAAAGAGACTGCCTATGTTACAGTCTCGACACACAGATCCAGCAGGTATTGACACACTAACAATTTAGATAAGTAGATTAGTGCTTAGCAAGTGTTCATGTGAGCTCTTTTGTAGACCAAGAATGCACCAAAGTATAGGCTGAATATTAGTGTACAGAGCTAAGAATGTTTAGTTTGATATATATTTACAAATGAACTTCGCAATTAAAAATGAAAGAGGGAAGATGCTAGATAAGTGGAGGTACTGAAACAATGGGGAGAATATCTTGAAAGGGAGGTAGTGGCATCTGGGATGGAAGGAGGGGTAGGGACCATTCCAGGAAGGGTGGGAGGGAGGGGGTAAAGGAGGTTTTGAGTCTTAGGGGTTTAAGTATCCAGCATGTTTATGCGAGCATGTTAGATAGGAATGAAGGAAAATTATTTTTATGACTCGATGTGCTGCTTGAGTGTGGGCAAGCTACATTTATGAAGGAATTCAGGGAAACTGGTTAGAAGATGGGAAGTACAGTGGCAAACTCTGAAGGAGGGGTGGGATGAGGCAATTCAGAGGGTCAGCTGAATTGTAATATGTGTGCACCTCTGGGAAGACAGCTGTTGAATGAACAATGGTGAATGTTTCTTGTTTTGAGTCACCATACCTTGGTGAGAGATGGCTAGTGTTAAAAAATATTTCATTTGTTACAATACGGTTACATTAATTTACTACCTAAACTACTGTAAAGGACCTTTCTTTTTCAAATAATTTTCTTATTTAAAGATTCTTCATTACAGCTTAATGAAAAGGCATGAGTAGCACTCTTAGAAATACGGTATTTTAGATGAGCAAGAAATGAAAGATTGACACCTCAAGTGTCAGATAATTCCTTGCAGCACTTGTAGAATTTGTAGAGATATTTTATATTTTATGTCTTTATTCCATATGTGGACTACATTTATATATTTTTTCTTTTATTGAAAGCAAAGAGACTAAAAATGAAGCTAAAGTGGATGTGAAACAGCACTTGAGCAGGATAATGAGGAGAAGAGAGAGAAAGACCAGTGAAGCAGATACAGTGAGCCTGAGAAGTGCACACAGTGCATGGAGAGCAATAGGACCCTTAAGACGATCACCTCGTAAGCATTTACATCAACCACCACCACAGAAGCGATTGCGTCAGTCGGAAAATCAAATACAGAGGTAAGATATTATGGCACTGTACAATGTATTTTTGTTTTTAACACACTGACCATCTCCCTCCAAGGCAGGGTGACCCAGAAGAAACACTTCCACTATCATTCAGTTTATCACTGACTTGCCAGAGGGATGCCAATACAGTTCAGATGCCCCTCCAAACTGCAAATATTCCCACCCCTCCTTCAGAGTGCAGGCACAGTACTTCCCACCTTCAGGACTCCAGTCCAGCTAACTGGTTCCCTGAATCCCTTCACAAAATGTTACCTTGCTCACATTCCAACAGCTTGTAAATTTCCAAACACCATTTGCCTCCACTTATTCCTATCTAACATGCTGACACACACCTGTTGGATGTCCAAGCCATGTCATGTTATGACATGATTTAGGGCTTATTAGAAAAGTAAAATACAGTACTCTATAAATATTGTATGGTGTGTACACATGTGTATACTGTATATGATGTTCAAGGCTGTGCATCACATGACATAATCTTCTGGACTAATTTGGCAGGGTATGTAAAATAAAGAAATTAGAAGTGAGCATAGGAAAGAACAAAATAATGAGAGGAACAATAAATTGAGGTAATGAAAGATTGGATATCAGATTGAGAGGAGGGAGAATGGAGGAAGTGAATGTGTTCAGATAGTTGGGAGTGGACTTGTCAGCAGATGGGTCTGTGAAAGATGAGGGGAATCATAGAATTGATGAGGGGAAAAAGGTGATTGGTACACTGAGGCATCTGTGGAAACTAAAAAAAATGTTATCTGTGGAGGCAAAAGGAAAATGTATCAGAACTTAGTGGTACCAACACTCTTATATGTGTGCAGCATGGATTTTAAATGTTGCAGTAATGAGTAGGCTATAGGCAGTGGGGATGTCTTACCTGAGGGTAATGTGTTGTGTGAATATCATGCAGAGAATTCATAGTTTGAAGATTAGAGGGTTTTTGAGGTGGTTTGGACATTTAGAGAGGATGGAGCAAAACAGGATGACTTGGAGGATGTATAAATCTGTAGTGGAGGGAAGGCAGGGTTGGGGTTGTCATAAGAAAGGTTGGAGGTGTCTGTTGGACGTCCAACAGGCACGTGAGCTTGTTAAGATTGGAGTGAGTGGAGTCAAGTGGTTTTTATGACTTGATGTTCTGTTAGGGTGTAAGCATGGTAACATATATGAAGGGATTCAGGAAAATTGGTTAGCTGAACTGGAGTCTGGAAGTGGTAAGTACAGCCCTGTACTCTGAAGGAGGGGTGGGGATATTGCAGTTGGAGGGGTATCTGAGTTGTAATGTCAGCATTCCTCTGGCAAGATAGTGATGGAGTTAATGGTGATGCAAGTGTTTCTTCTTTTTTGGGTCACCTTGCCTTGCTGGGAGATGACTGGTGTGTTAAAAATGCTAACAATATGCAAATACACTATTTAAATATTTTCACTTTTTAGACGAATGTACATCTACAGTATACATATTTCTTAAATTGATGTTCTTGTTATCAGGACACCTCAAAAGAGAGCTAGAAAAAGCAGTAGCGAAAATAAAAATAGTGAGAGTGACTTGAAACCTTCAGATTTGTTAAGACCATCAGCTATTAGAGATTCACTAAGAAGCTCTAGTGCACAAAACAAGAGAATACCTAAGCCTGCTGATCTTAGTGATGTACATAAGCAAGTAAGTATATTTATATTGTATACTATAACCTCACTTTCTTCATAAAAACCTACAGCTTTTAACAACCCATCACCTTTTCCCCATATACAGTATTTGCAGCACTTACTTCTCAATCATGTCACATGCCTTTTTTCAAGTTTATAAATGTAATAGTTATCCTTGCCATTTTCTATTGTTACTGTTATTTGCTTAAATTTAGACACGATCCACACATTCCCTTCCATTTGAAAGTCCAACGTTTGTCCTCTTCCATCCTTCATTTACATTTGTGTTATACACTTCATCTTCCCTCCTCTCCTTGAATTGAACCTGAAAGTTTCCCATTCCCAAGGTGCTATATGACCCCCAACAGGTTTAAGGCTTCTCTGTGAATGTAATAATAATACAGTGGAACCTCAAAAATCGAACATATCACATATCGAATGTTTCGAAAATAAGACCATTTTTTCGGATAAACTGTGTCCCTATTATCGAACGCGCCCCTATTTTCGGACTGCCGGGTACAGGACCTGTCCGTTGGCCCGCTCTGTCCGTGTCCCCGCGCAGGCGCCGTGAGCAGTCTAGCTTTGTTTATGCTCGAGTGAACACTAACCTGTGATCTCATTCACACATTTTACGATCATTTAATTGTGTTTAGTGCTTGTGGGGCTGTGAAATAAGCTGCCATGGGCCCAAAGAAACTTGCTAGTGGTACCCCTGTGGTAAAGCAAGTGAGAAACACCATAGATGTGAAGAAGGAAATAATACAGAAGTATGAGATTGGAGTGAGACTTGTTGAGCTTGCCAGGATGTACAGAGGACTGTGGACAGTTATTTTGAGACAGAAACAGATGACTGTGGACAGTTATTTTGTGAGACAGAAACAGACGACTGGGGAAACAGTTATTTTGTAGACAGAAACAGACACTGTGGATTTTAATTTTGTGAGACAAACAAAACGATTGTGGACAGTTATTTTGTGAGACAGAAACAGATGACTGTGGACAGCTATTTTGTGAGACAGAAACAGATGACTGTGGAGTTATTTTGTGAGACACAGACGATTGTGGACAGTTATTTTGTGAGACAGAAACAGACGACTGTGGACAGTTATTTTGTGAGACAAACAGACGACTGTGGAGTTATTTTGTGAGAACAAACAGACATTGTGGACAGTTATTTTGTGAGAACAGAAACAAAGACTGTGGACAGTTGTTTTGTGAGACTGGGGTCCAATGACTCTCAAGCTGGTTCTAGTGGCATTAAAATACAGAGAAGGGAAGCAACCCCAGAGAGGGCTTTGATCCCGGGAAGTCCTCATGGAGGGGATTCTCCTTCCAAACAATAACCCCAACTCCCTCTCTCCTCCTCCCTAAACTTCCAGATGCCATCACCAATCTTCAATAAAGGTTAAGTAAAAATGTTATTTTATATTACTATACATAATTAAAGACTATAGCATTTGTTGTGTGTATGTAAAACTAATTAATCTCTATAAAATTATTTTTTGTGAATTTTTTTTGGGTTTCTGGAACGGATTAATTGTATTTCCATTAAATTTTTTATGGGAAATATTTCTTCGAATTTCAGACTTTTCGAATTTAAAACTAGCTCCTGGAACGGATTAAGTTCGATTTTGAGGTTCCACTGTATACACTTCACCTGGTATATTCAACACTTTCTTCACTATAATTCTTACTCTTTTGTCCCATTTTCCCTTCTACAAATAAGCTATACATGAACAGTATTTAGATAAGGCTAAAGAGGTCTTTGTGGCATTTATGGATTTGGAAAAGGCATGTGACAGGGTGGATAGGGGGCAATGTGGCAGATTTTTGCAGGTGAAATGGTGTAGGAGGTGGGTTTAAATGAAAGCAGTGAAGAGTTTTACGAGGATAGTGAGGCTCAAGTTAGAGTACATAGGAAAGAGGGAAATTATTTCCCAGTAAAAGTAGGCCTTAGACAAGGAAAGTGTGATGTCACCGTGGTTGTTTAATATATTTATAGATAGGGTTGTAAGAGAAGTAAATGCGAGGGTCTTGACAAGAGGCGTGGAGTTAAAAGATAAAAAATCACACATAAAGGGGGGATTGTCACAGTTGCTCTTTGCTGATGACACTGTGCTCTTGGGAGTTTCTGAAGAGAAGTTGCAGACATTGGTGGATGAATTTGGTAGGGTGTGCAAAAGAAGAAAATTAAAAGTGAATACAGGAAAGAGTAAGGTTATGAGGATAACAAAAATATTAGGTGATGAAAGATTGGATATCAGATTGGAGGGAGAGAGTATGGAGGAGGTGAATGTATTCAGATATTTGGGAGTGGACGTGTCAGGGGATGGGTCTATGAAGGATGAGGTGAATCATAGAATTGATGAGGGAAAAGGGGTGAGTGTGCACTTAGGAGTCTGTGGAGACAAAGAACTTTGTCCTTGGAGGCAAAGAGGGGAATGTATGAGAGTATAGTTTTACCAACACTCTTAAATGGGTGTGAAGCATGGGTGATGAATGTTGCAGCGAGGAGAAGGCTGGAGGCAGTGGAGATGTCATGTCTGAGGGCAATGTGTGGTGTGAATATAATGCAGAGAATTCGTAGTTTGGAAGTTAGGAGGAGGTGCGGGATTACCAAAACTGTTGTCCAGAGGGCTGAGGAAGGGTTGTTGAGGTGGTTCGGACATGTAAGAGAATGAAGTGAAACAGAATGACTTCAAGAGTGTATCAGTCTGTAGTGGAAGGAAGGCAGGGAAGGGGTCGGCCTAGGAAAGGTTGGAGGGAGGGGGTAAAGGAGGTTTTGTGTGCGAGGGGCTTGGACTTCCAACAGGCGTACGTGAGCGTGTTTGATAGGAGTGAAAGGAGACAAATGGTTTTTAATACTTGACGTGCTGTTGGAGTGTGAGCAAAGTAACATTTATGAAGGGGTTCAGGGAAACCGGCAGGCCGGACTTGAGTCCTGGAGATGGGAAGTACAGTGCCTGCACTCTGAAGGAGGGGTGTTAATGTTGCAGTTTAAAAACTGTAGTGTAAAGCACCCTTCTGGCAAGACAGTGATGGAGTGAATGATGGTGAAAGTTTTTCTTTTTCGGGCCACCCTGCCTTGGTGGGAATCGGCCAGTGTGATAATAAATAAAAAAAAAAATGCTTTGCAGATCCCAGGTTACATTCCCTTCTTTCTTACATACATTGAACAGTAGTAATGTGAAACATTTGTATGTGTGTACATTTATGTTGTTGTGTAAACATGTTTATATGTAAACAATTGATGACACTTGTTAGTGTGAGTACAGTTAACCCCCGCATACCGCACGCATCGCATACCGTACAATCCGCATACCGCTCACGTTTTTCGCAAAAATTTTGCCTCGCATACCGCCCCAAAACCCGCTCACTGCCCTTCGTCCGAGACGTGTCCAATGTGCGGCCTGAGCCACGCTCACAAGTTCCGCCGGTGGCATTGTTTACCAGCCAGCCTCCGCGGTAACATCCAAGTATACAATCGGAACATTTCGTATTATTACAGTGTTTTTGGTGATTTTTTCTGGAAAATAAGTGACCATGGGCCCCAAGAAAGCTTCTAGTGCCAACCCTACAGCAATAAGGGTGAGAATTACTATAGAGATGAAGAAAAAAAGATCATTGATAAGTATGAAAGTGGAGTGCGTGTCTCCGAGCTGGCCAGGTTGTATAATAAACCCCAATCAACCATCGCTACTATTGGTGGTACAGCTGCTGCTGTACCACCGTCAGCTGCTGCTGCACTGTCAGCTGCTGCTGTACCACCGTCAGCTGCTGCTGCACTGTCAGCTGCTGCTGCTGTTGTACCACCGTCAGCTGCTGCTGCTGCTGCTGTAGCATCGTCTGCTGCTGCTGTAGCATCGTCTGCTGCTGCTGTAGCATCGTCTGCTGCTGCTGTAGCATTGTCTGCTGCTGCTGTAGCATCGTCTGCTGCTGCTATAGCATCGTCTGCTGCTGCTGTAGCATCGTCTGCTGCTGCTGTAGCATCGTCTGCTGCTGCTGTAGCATCGTCTGCTGCTGCTGTAGCATCGTCTGCTGCTGCTGTAGCATCGTCTGCTGCTGCTGTAGCATCGTCTGTTGCTGCTGTAGCATCGTCTGCTGCCGCTGTAGCATCGTCTGTTGCTGCTGTAGCATCGTCTGTTGCTGCTGTACCACCGTCAGCTGCTGCTGCTGCTGTAGCACCGTTGTTGGTGTGGCTTATTGAGAATACCAAGAAACAATTAACCCCAGAGGATTTGCCACCCAGGATAACCCAAAAAAGTCAGTGTCATCGAAGACTGTCTAACTTATTTCCATTGGGGTCCTTAATCTTGTCTCCCAGGATGCAACCCACACCAGTCGACTAACACCCAGGTGAACAGGGAAAAATGCCTGGAACTAGTGCTCATATTGGTGAATTTAAAGCCAGCAAAGGTTGGTTTGAGAGATTTAAGAATCGTAGTGGCATACACAGTGTGATAAGGCCTGTTCTGGAAGAAAATGCCAAACAGGACCTACAGTACTCAGGAGGAAAAGGCACTCCCAGGACACAGTGTCTCATCAGTCATAGCTGCATCTTCAATAAAGGTAAGTGTCATTTATTCTTCATTTAGTAGAGTAGTACATGCACAATATATATTGTGCATGTACTACTCTACTATTGTGCATGTATCCTTCTCTTCGTGTGTAGGAAAATGTATATTTCATGTGGTAAAATTTTTTTTTTCATACTTTTGGGTGTCTTGCACGGATTAATTTGATTTCCATTATTTCTTATGGGGAAAATTCATTCGCATACTGAACATTTCGCATAACAATCAGCCCTCTTGCACGGATTAAGGTCGCTATGCGGGGGTCCACTGTATTGTGTTGCATACAAGTGGAAAAATGTTCATTGTGTATGACATGGGTCTCACAGACCACAAAGTTTCTGGAAAATGTAAAAAATCAGAAAACCTCCCCAAAAAGTACAAAAAATAAAGTAGAAACATGTGGAGCATGCGATAGTCGTCAGTGTTGCCATCAGTGGATCATTGGCCTTTGATTTTATGCCTCTATATATTGATAAGTACATACTGATGGGAATTTATTTTTATATTTTATTACTACCAGGAAAATGAACTCTTAATTTATATTTATTTTTTAAATTTGGACATTGAGAGCAATTTTAATTTTGGGGGTCTGGACAGTAAAAGGGTTAAATTAAGCTCAATGGAGATATGCCTAGTGACACCAGCCTCTAAATGCGTTGACTTCTAAATGCGTACAGTAGAGTTCTGATCCCTGCACTGCAGTCTGTTCTCGTACCAAGAAGTATAACTATCAACCATTTCACATTTCTTGTATTTTTGTCTGCCACCTCATTGCCAGACTTTATATAATATATAATCAAATTAAACCCCTAAATCCGAAAGAGGTTGCCAGGTTTAGCACAACATATTTTTCCAATTTCCTTATTTATGGTTAAAGCTACTGTACATTTTTGTAGTTTTGTGTGCTCTTACAGCCCCTCTTAAGGCAGGGAAAATGTCATAAACTCAGTTAAGCACCTAAATTATTGGGAATTCTTGAAGTCCCTTGACTATGTAGATGAATGGAATGTATGCAAGAAAACTACATCATAACTTATGCCTGGAAAAGTCTAGAAGGCCTGATCCCAAATCTGCACAAAGAAATCATTCCCTACAAAAGCAAGAGGGTCAGCAGATGATGCAAGATATACTCCAGTGAAAAGTTGGGGTGCCACAAGTACATTAAGAGATAATTCATTAAGTGTGAAGCAACAAGTCTTTTCAATACCTTCCCTTTATTCATAAGGAGAATTACCACCAGACTCCT